AAAAAAAAGCAAAGAAAAAGAATCTTTGGCCTTATTTGTGGCTTCTGACATGATGAGCAGAAGTAGAGGTGAAGTCCAGTATTCAGCCACTCCAACAACTGAGGAAGATCAAGGCAGGTAACACGTGCAGGTGGTGAGGGAGCCAGTCTCATCCAGACCAGCAATCCCAGTACCCAGCCTTACTCTCACGGCCATTGTAGACGAAGCAGTTAGGGTGAAATCCTACACAGCAAAGGCAGACCTCGCCACACTCCTGAGAAACCAGTCTTTATGCAGAGATCCTTAATCAAAGGCAAGGCAGGATCTGAGTCCTTTCTGCTTCCTCTGCTGTGCAGAGGCCTGGGGGGGTGGGGCACCATGGAAGGATCAAGAAGTGGGAGCTTCGGGGACGTGAACTGGATGGATCCCGGTAGATTTCAGGGGTAGACACATGTCTGAGTTAGAGGCCAAGTGGAGGTGTCAGAGAGCAGCCGGGTCTGTAGTAATGAGAGATGGTAGACACAGGCTCATCACATGGATGGTGTTTGGGGTCCCAGGACCTCAGGTACTCCATCAAGGCGCTGGTGCAGAACGACACCTGCAGGTGAAGGGCACTGGCGCCAGCAGGTCGGGTCCTTCAAGCTCAATTGCAGGAAGCTAGAGGGCGGAGGGGAGCGGAGCAGGGGCCCTGCCCACGCCCGCGCTCACCGCACACAAGGCCAAGAAGGCAGCCCCCAGCGTGCGGGGACACGTGGACTCCAAGCCTGCCAAGAGCAAGAAGCCCGAAGCGGGAGCACAAGAGCACAAGAAGGACCCGGGCGGTGCAAGAAGGACAAAAGCAGCAAAGCCAAGAAGCCAGTGGCCGCCAAGCCCAGAGTCCCCAAAGTGCCCAAGGGCCGCAAGTGAGCGCGGCAGCCAGATGGGAAACGCCTGCTGGGTCTTTTAGGTTTCCTGGGTTTGGTTTGGTTTTTGGTTTTTTACCCCAAGTGGCTGTAGGTTTTGTACTATTCACACTGGCTTTGAGCCACAGGGAGGGGACCTCGGTTCTGTCCCCAGCCCCCCACCCCCCTCCTCCTCCCCATTTTATTTTTAAAGAAAATCTTAATTTCCAAGAGCTACAAAGAATGTAATGTCAAGTGATGGTAACCAACTTTAAAGAGATGGCAGGAAAGGGAGAAGAGATGAGGGATTTTCTCACTCTACACCAGCAGGACTAGAGGGCACAGTGCAAGAGTCTGGGAAGTAGAGGGTCAAACATGGCAGGTTTTATGGGAGGCACAGGGCAGCAGAGATTGACCATGTATTCTTGGATTGAAGAGACTCGGATTTTTACTGGTAAGAGCTAGATGAATGATAAGGTGAAGATGAGACTGAGCAGATTGCCAGAGAACTGAACTGACTTGTGCAGTGATTTTCCTTGAAGTTCCAGACTCCTAAAGCTGCCCAGCCTAGGGGAAAGTGAAGAATTAAACTGTATATTCTGAACACTTAACTCTTTTTTTTATTTTATTTATTTATGGGATAGAATTCCCTGCTCCCAAGATGTTATTGACCTTTCCATTTTGTGTGGGGTTCTTAATTAGTTTTTTGTTTTTTTTTCATGATGACACGTTTTCTCTGTATTTATGTCTGTCAGTTCTGACCTTTGGCATATTTGGAAGAATTCCACCTCAATATTAGTTAGATTCACCTGTTTCTTTTCCTAAACAAAATGCTGTGTCATTCTTCTCTGTAAGCATCTCTGTGACTAAACTCAGATTTATCCCCTTGTATTCATTCACTTTTCTCTACTCTCATCTTCTTAGTCCAAATTTTCCTCATTTTATCTAACTTTTGTATCTATCATGGCCTCTCCACATCTCTGTTCTCATCCACAGAAAACTGATTAAAAAAAAACACAAACCCTTTGCCGTTTAAACCATGCAGATGTATTCAGAGACAAGTCATTGTCGTCGAGGCGGAACTGACTCATAGCTGACCCTGCAGTGGCTTTTCAGAGCCTGTAAATCATAGCTGATGGATTTAAGTGCCTTTGGGTTGCCAGCACAATTCCTTACCCACTAGACCACCAGAACTACCTGAGAATGTATTATCGAGTAAGAAAAGAAATCAATTTAAGGTAAAAATTAAACTACATACTGAAATTTGAAACTTTGTAATTTTTGAAAAAGAATTGAACATTAGTGCCAAAATTCATGCTGAGTTTTTTTTTAATTTTTTTTTTATTAATTTTAATGAAAGTTTACAGAGACTTAAGGTTTCTAGTCATTCATTGTAGCACTTTTCTCCCTGCCCACCCTCTTCCTCCCTAATTCACTCTTCTCATTGGAAAGTAAAAGAAAAACTCATTCTTATGCAACCCCTCCCCCCAAGTCCACTCCACATGCAGACTTCATTCTGTACTCCTGTCTTGACAATAATACCCAATCATATATGTCTTTTAAACAGTTCTCTCCCTCATCTGTTTCAATGCAGTATACATCATTCCTTCCCTCCTTCTCTGCCTTCCCTCAACCCCTATGTCAGTCCCATTTTACAAGTTGCCTTATCTAATATTCGTCCTTTTGTGACTGAGATATTTCACTTAGCATAATGTCCTCCAGGGTCATCAATTTTGTTTAATATTTCATGAGTTCCTTGTTTTTCAGTGCGGCATAATATTCCATTGTGTGAATACACCAGAGCTTCTGTAGCTATTCGTTTGTTGATGGGCACTTGGGTTGTTTCCAGCTCTTTGCTATTGCAAACAAAGCCACAATAACATGGTTGAGCATATATCTGCTTGGGTGGCGGTGATGGTTTCTTTAGGGTAAATTCCAGTAGTAGAATTGTTGGGTCAAATGGTATTTCTATTTGCAACATTTTGAGAAAGAACCATACAGCCTTCCATAGTGGTTACACCATTATACACTCCCACCAACAGTGAATACGGGTTCCAGTTTCTCCACAACCTCACCAGCATTTGATGTTTGCTGTTCTGCTAGATTTTGCTATTCTTACTGGAGTGAGATGACATTTCATAGTTGTTTTGATTTGCATCTCTCTTGGAGCTAGAGATTTTAAACATTCCTTCATGTGTTTCTTAGCCATCTGAATGTCTTCTTTGGTGAAGTAGATGCCAAGTTTTGAAAAATAAGTTAAATACCTGCTAATTTCTTTTTTCTTTTTCTTTTCTCATCATAGGACTTGTACAACAATCAATCAATCGTAAACAAAGCTGGAAAGGTTCCAAAGAATCCTTAGTTCCTCAGAGACATGGCCCGGGCCTGGGAGATGCTGTGGTGTATCGTTCGGAAAGTCCCAACTTGCAGCCTGACGTAGGAAGACCTTTGTCGGGATCTGGCATAGCAGCATTTTCTCAGGCTCATTCTAGTAACGGACAGAGAGTAAACCCCCTGCCACCACCTCAAGTAAGGAGTGTCACGCCTCCACCCGCTCCAAGAGGCCAGACTCCCCCTCCAAGAGGTACAACACCTCCTCCTCCCTCATGGGAACCAAACTCCCAAACAAAGCGATATTCTGGTAACATGGAATATGTAATCTCCCGAATCTCTCCTGTTCCTGTTCCACCTGGGCCATGGCAGGAGGGCTATCCACCACCACCTCTTACCACTTCCCCAATGAACCCACCCAGTCAGGGACAGAGAGGCATGAGTTCTGTTCCTGTGGGCAGACAGCCAATCATCATGCAGAGTTCTAACAAATTTAACTTCCCACCAGGAAGGCCTGGAATTCAGAATGGGAATGGTCAAACTGACTTTTTGATACACCAAACTGTTGTCCCTACTGGTGCTGTGAATCGACAGCCACCCCCTCCATATCCTTTGGCCCCAGCTAATGGACAGAATCCTTCGACTTTACAAACAGGGGGACCTGCTGCTCCTTCATCATATACGAATGGAAATATTCCTCAGTCTATGATGGTGCCAAACCGAAATAGTCACAACATGGAACTTTATAACATTAATGTACCTGGAACCACTTGGCCTCAGTCATCTTCTGCTCCAGCCCAGTCATCCCCAGGCAGTGGCCATGAAATCCCGACATGGCAACCGAACATACCAGTGAGGTCAAATTCTTTTAATAATCCACTGGGGAATCGAACAAGTCACTCTACTAATTCTCAGCCTTCAGCTACAACAGTAACAGCAATTACACCAGCTCCTATTCAACAACCTGTGAAAAGCATTCGTGTATTAAAGCCAGAACTCCAGACTGCTTTAGCACCGACACACCCTTCCTGGATCCCACAGCCAGTTCAGACTGTTCAGTCCAATCCTTTTCCTGAGAGTACCACTTCAAATGTGACTGTTATGCCACCTGTGGCTGAAGCGCCAAGCTATCAAGGCCCACCACCGCCTTATCCTAAACATCTGCTACACCAGAACTCCTCTGTTCCTCCGTATGAATCGATAAATAAACCTGGCAAAGAGGATCAGCCTAGCTTACCCAAGGAAGATGAGGGTGAAAAAAGTTATGAAACTGTTGATAGTGGAGATAAAGAAAAGAAACAGATTACAACTTCACCTATTACTGTTAGAAAAAATAAGAAAGATGAAGAGCGAAGGGAATCTCGTATTCAGAGTTACTCTCCACAGGCATTTAAGTTCTTTATGGAGCAACATGTGGAAAATGTTCTCAAATCTCACCAGCAGCGTCTGCATCGTAAAAAGCAGTTAGAGAATGAAATGATGCGGGTAAAGCCTTGTAAAATATTTCTTCTCATATTTGATGTCCATTTCATGTTTATTTTAAAATATTGTTATCTAGTGTTTTTTCTTAATATAAAGAAAGTATATATTATAGTACTTTTGATTGTGAGACCTTATTTTAATATTTCAAGATTTTCTGGTCTATCTTTGATAAATACAGGTAAATAAGAAAAGTAGTTAGGTGAAAATTGAACGTTATCATTCAACATTTAAAAATAAAGCAGAAAAAAATGAAAATAAAGCAGGAAATTTCTAGCTCCCATTTTTTGGTACACTTAAGAAACTTAAATTTTACTTGCAGTAGATTATGGGTTTATTTACCATCTCCGCCTTAATTGGAAGTCTGAGCTATCTGCCTTCAGTTAATTTTCTTTCTAATTTCTTTTTTATATAATGCATTGGGGGGGAGGAACCCAGCTAAAAATGTCAGGTAATTCTTAAAAAAGAGATTACTCATTTTAATGAATCTAAATTCTGATTGTTGTTGTTGTTATGTGCCGTCGAGTCGCTTGCGACTCATAGTGAACCTATGTACAACAGCTCTAAACTCTGCCCTGTGCCAATCTCCAACACACTCATCCCGATTGCCTGGTCACCAAATCAATCCATTCAATTCTGATTAGACTTCTTTATTAGTTGTAGCCATTTTGGCACTATCATTGTTATTGTTTTTATCATATATTATTAAAGTTCAGATATTTGACTGCTAATCTTAAATGTCTCATAACCAAAGAGGCTTAAATGCGTGATTGAAATTCCTAACGTATTTGCAGGAGTCAGTCTTTTGAAAAATTTTTCTCAATCTGATTTTATAATGTTTTTATCCAACTACAAATTGAATTTCAGATGAGAAATAACAGGACAATCTGAATGACTTATGCATATTTTTGGTCTCAGGATTTCTTACTAAAGTCTGTCTATGTATTTTCTTAGATTCTTTTTCCTCTTCACTTTCACTAATAGCTGATTTAGACTTTTATGGTGTTGGAAGCTTTGCTGACTTCTATAGCCTCCATTACTTTGTAGGCAAGTAAGATTTTGAGAGAAACAGTTCTGTACTAAGACTGGCATGCTACCCTTCGAGATTTTGCATGCAGATATGCATCCTAACAGAAGCTTGATGTGGCTATATTTTGATTGGGCTTTAGAATGAAAGATTCTTTTCCAGTTGAAGTTCTTTATTTAAACCATTTTATTGCTTTTTTTAAAAAAATTGTTTTTTTTATCAATTGACTTACAATAAACTGACCCTGCCTTCTAAGTCCAGGTACTTACTTAAAAGGAAGTTTTTGTTTTTAATTTTCCTTTTTATATCTTTGTACATCACAGTAACTGTACTTTGACCAAGATATCTGAAAGATTCTATTGCAAGCAAACATGTTCTTTTTAAATAGGATAATTAACTCTTTGTATTTGTTTTAGTGGTGGACTGTAACTCCCACTCTTAACCAAATGTCCAAGAAAGAAATAAGACTGGCTATTAATCACTGTTGTCTGCTTATTAAGATTGAGGAAAGAGTAGTTTACTTTAGAGCAGGCATTGTTTTGTTCTCCTTGAAAACAATGCCTTTGAGAATAAAAGAACCTGTTGATGTTAGAGGCTGTCTAGTGGACTATGACTCATTCTATGGACAATGATCTGAATCGTGCACTATCCTGTGCCATCCTCATATCTGATATACTTGAGTTGCTGTATTAGTCTCTATCATTGAAAGTTTTGCTATCTTAAGCTGACCTTCCATTCTTTCTAAGCATGATGTTCTTTGCCAAGGACTGGGTCCTCTTAACAGCTATGCCAAAGTATGTGAGAAGATGCTTCACTGTCTTTGCTTCCAAAAAAAAACACACTGGTTTTACTTTGTCCATAGAATATTTAGTACTCTTCTCCAACACCACAACTGAAACCTCTCAATTCTTCTGTTATCCTTTGTTGTTGCTGTTGTGTACCATTGAGTTGTAACTGATAGCTGACCCTCCAGTGGGTTTTCATAGGCAGTAAAGTGCATGGAAGTTGATTGCTCATTTTTTCTCCGTCAGAGCTTCCAGTGGATTCAAACAATATACCTTTGGGTTGGCAGCACAACTCCTTACCACCAAGCCTCCTGACGTTCCTCGTCATCCCTTATTGTTGTTAGGTGCCATAGAGTTGAGTACAACTAATAGCAACCCTATGAACATCCTATCCTGTGCCGTCTTCACAATCTCTGCAGCATTCATCCTCTTAGTTATTCACAAATGAACCAAGAGTGGAAGAATTTCCCCTCACAAAGGAAAGAATCATTTAGGCCTAACATTCCACCAAGAGAGACATAATGAAGGCAGTCTAAAATTAGGGGTGAATATGCATGAAGATGTAGATGAAGTTGCATGTTAATTGATACTTTACAATTGCACATTAGGACCATATGTGTGTGTTTGGAATAGAGAAAAGTATAAAAGCTGACCATTGGTATTTTCTTCTACTTAAACCCAGCAGCACAGTCTGTATACTCACTTGGTGTAGCCTATTAACTATTCCTTTAGTTGCACTTTTTATAATTAATTTTCTGTGAACCATATTCTAGATTTCTAACATGCTTATTAAAAATTATTACACATTTAACCCTTAAGTATATGCCTGAACTTTTCAAACTATTATTTGATATTCAGTATAGGAAGATGATAATTCCTTTTTTAATACTTAGTTTATTTGCCTAGGTTGGATTATCTCAAGATGCCCAGGATCAAATGAGAAAGATGCTTTGCCAAAAAGAGTCTAATTACATTCGTCTTAAAAGAGCTAAAATGGACAAGTCTATGTTCGTGAAGATAAAGACACTAGGAATAGGTGCCTTTGGTGAAGTCTGTCTAGCAAGAAAAGTAGATACTAAAGCTTTGTATGCAACAAAAACGCTTCGAAAAAAAGATGTCTTGCTTCGAAATCAAGTTGCTCATGTTAAAGCTGAGCGAGATATTCTGGCTGAAGCAGACAATGAATGGGTAGTTCGTCTGTATTACTCATTTCAAGATAAGGACAATTTATACTTTGTAATGGACTACATTCCTGGAGGTGATATGATGAGTCTTTTAATTAGATTGGGCATCTTTCCAGAAAATCTAGCACGATTCTACATAGCGGAACTTACTTGTGCAGTTGAAAGTGTTCATAAAATGGGTTTTATTCATAGAGATATTAAACCTGATAATATTTTGATCGATCGTGATGGACATATTAAATTGACTGATTTCGGCCTCTGCACTGGCTTCAGATGGACGCACGATTCTAAATACTATCAGAGTGGTGAGTGAAATCTTGAAGTTTGTTTTCATTTGTGTTGCTGTGATTTATTAATGTAATAAAATATAAAGTGGTTGTGTCACAGGACCCAGAAGACTGGGGTTAAGTCCTGGCTCTTGATAAAATCAATTCTATTATAAAATGAAGAGATGTGTTAGATTCAAGTATTTCTAAATGCTATTAGCATTTTTCAGTTAACCTCTTTGCATTTTGTTATTTGGAAATGCCACATAAAGTAAGTTTCATAGTCACCATTTAGCTTATAAACTAGATTATTAATACTTTAATTCCCCTCCTTTTTGTGATTTTAACTGACATTTACAGAAAGGTTGGGTTTTCATTCCTTCATTGGTACACATTTTCTCCCTTCCCTCTCCTGAAGCCCTGTTTTGTAATGTACTTCTTGTTCCAGATTGTTGTCATACATATACTGTTTAATCATACATTACTTTCAGAAAATCCTTCCTCTCATCTGTTCCAGTGCAGATTTCATTATCTATCTATTCTTTTCCTATTCTCCCCTAAACTACCATATCAGTCGTTTTTATATGCAGTATTTGTCCTTCTGTGACTAAGATATTTCACTTAGTATAATGTCTTCTGTACTTACCCATATTGTGTTTTACAAGTTCATTGTTTTTCAGTGATACATAATAGTCCATTGTGTGAATGTACCACAGTTTTTCTAGCCATTTGTTTGTTGATGGACATTTGGGTTGCTTCCATTGAATATTGCAGCATGGGTGTGCATACATCTGTTTGAGTCATGGCTTTAGTTTCTTTAGGGTATATTCCTAGTAGTGGAATTGCTGGATCAAATGGTATTTCTATTTCCAACTTTTTGAGAAAGCGCCAGACTGCCTTCCATAGTGATTGTACCATTTTATATTCATTCTCACCATCAGTGAATTTGAGTTCCAATATCTCTACAATCTCACCAGCATTTGTTGTTTGCTGCCCTATTGAGCTTCGCTATTGTTGAAGGAAAAGGTTATTAATACTTTAAAAACAAATGCAACCACTTGCCAATGAGTCAATCATGACTCATGCTAAATAATCATTTCCCTTTTCTTTTCCACAGAGAAAACCATTATTTCAGAATTTGTGCTTTTCTTTATACTTTTATACCTCATGTACATTCATACATATAACGTACTTATGTATGTAATAAACTGTATATTCATTTTACTATGTTTGAACTTTATCTAAATGTAATTGTTTTCTATATCGTCTTCTTTATCAACATGCATGTGTTCTTTGTTGGCTTATTTCCTGTTTGAGATTTATCCCTGATGTTCTATGTAACATTTATTTTCTCTGCCTGAACTCTTTTGTCCATGATCTTATCTATTATTCAGAAATTGAAGCAGGATTAATAAACAGAGATTTAGTTGATAACATAACCTGCTCAGAGTCACACAGAAAATAAGTGTAAGGGCTAAACTTTGAGTCAGTTTTGACCCATCACAGGACCCTTGTTGTTTCCACACTGCCTCACCAAGATACAGTGGAAAAGGCAGTGGATCCAACATTTGTTGAACACTTATTATGTAGTAGATGCAGTAATTCTTTGTTATTTAATGCTCCCAGCATTCCTCAGAGGTATGTACTGTTATATGAATACAAGACATTGAAAGGGTGGAATTGAGACAGCTGAATTTCCTGTAATGTTCAATATGACGCTGTCCATTATCTACCCAGATTTATTGGAATCTCCTGGGGCTCTTTAAAATGTGATTCTTAGATCTTGTCCCAGTCTTCAGACTAAAAATATCCACTGAAAAGGAGAAGCTTATATTTTAAACATCCAGTTGTATTACTGTTCGGTTAATTTTATATACATTGCTTTAGGTAACTTCATCCAGCCCTCTGGCTTTAAAAACCACCTCTGTGTCAGTGAGGAAGCTCTTCTGGCATTATTTATTGTATGTTGCATTGGTGGACTAAAAGTCCACCAAAAGAAAGGTGGACCGTCCCTTACAGTTAAGATTTACAGCCTCAGAAACCTGCTGGACGATTGTCAGGAGTCAGAACGACCTTGAGAGCAGTAAGAGAGATGCCAGTGACTCTCTCTGAAATTCTTGATTTCTGCAGTGACTTGATTCTGAGAAATCTTTAGAGAAGATGGTTTTTTTTGGTTTGTTTTTGCTTTTATCACATGACTTTTAATCAGCTTTTTGTATTTAACATTTCCACTACCCATTTAGTTATCCATCAGTCTCTTTTTACCTGTGCTTTCCACATACTTATAAACAAGTTGTCATCGTTGTTATTATGTGTCATCGAGTCACTTGCGACTCATGGCAACCCTATGTATATAACAGCCCTAAACTCTGCTCTGTCCTGTGCCAATCGCACCGTCTCTGATACACCCATCCCAATTACCCAAGTCACTGAATCAATCCACCTCATAGAGGGCCTTCCCCTCCTGTGCTGTCCCTCCACCCTCCCAAGCATGATGTCCTTCTCCAAGGACCGGTCCCTCCTTACAACATGACCAAAGTATGTTAGACGGAGCCTCAGAATCCTTGCCTCCAAGGAGCCGCCCAGTTTAACCCTCTCCAGGATGAATCTGTTTGTTTTCCTAGCAGTCCATGGTACCCTCAATACTCTTCTCCAGCACCAAAAGCTCAAAGGTATCTCAATTCTCCTTCTGTCCTCCTTAGTCATTGTCCAACTCTCTGATGCATAACAAGTGATAGCAAAGACCATGGCCTGTATCAGACGCACCTTAGTCTCGAGAGAGACACCATTGCTCTTCAGTGCTTTGGAGAGGTTCCTAACAACAGACTTTCCCATCACAGTACGTCTTTTAATTTCTTTTCTTACTGTGTTTTTGGAAACACTAATTTGTTTGAAAATGTCACAATAAAGGGGAGCAGTTTGAAAATTCTTAGTCCTAATTATTTCTATTGTCATAATTAACACTAAATACATGCAGAATGTGTTTTAGCTTATGGCAACACAGAATTTTCTAACTCCAAACCAAAATGTTATAAAATGAAATGGAATTTAGGCTTACATTTGCCCTAGTTGCTTTTATTTTTAAATTTTTTTTAACTGTGTAGGTGACAAATCTGTATACTTGTCCCCATCTCCATTATTACCATTGCAGTGCAAGCTCACCTATATTCGACTTTGAGTAGTACGTGTTTGCACTTTTGTCTAATCTTTGATTTATTCTCCACACAACCGTTGGAGGGTTTGTTGTTGGTTTCAGTTTTTTAAAGAGAAATCAGATATTGTTATTCGCTTGCTTCAAATTTCCAGTAGCTTCCCAGTGTACATGGAGCCCCTGAGTGGCATAAGTGGTTTGCAGTCCGTTACTAACCCAAACAGTGATTTGAACCTACTCAACAGCTCCCAGCAGAACTTCTTGGTGGACTGCTTCCTCTGTGGAATTTATGTTGTCATAATTTCACATTAAATACATATACATTACGTCTTAGCTGGTGGCAGCCAAGGAAACCTTAGAGAGTAGTTTCAGTCTGTAACACAGGAGTCACCATGAACGAGATGGAATCAAATTACTGGCAGTGGATTTGAGGAATTTTTTAGATTGGTATTTGGAATAATATGTAAATCATTTCTTCTTGGATATGAAACCCACTTGCATTAGCTCCCGCTCCATTCCTTTCCATTCTCTCTGTTACAGGTCATCCTCCTCTTTCTCTGTTGTTTCTGTATGGAATGCCCGCCTTGGGTTTTTAAATGGTTGAGTCGCACTTGTTTTTTTGCTTAACTGTCTGTCACCTTATGGTGATTCTTTCCTAACCACCCATGGTGCAGCCATCTGCTCATATTTATCGTATCATCCCATTTAAATTCTCTGCATGGAATACAGCACTTTTCCTTATATATATTTATTTTGTGTGTGTGGTTTTTTTTTCCTCCAGTAGAATGTAGCAGCCTATGAGAACATAGTCTTTTCTTACTGTGTTTTTGGAAACACTAATTTGTTTGAAAATGTCACAGTAAGGGGGAGCAGTTTGAAAATTCTTAGTCCTAATTGTATTATTTCTATTGTCATAATTTACACTAAATACATGCAGAATGTGTTTTAGCTTATGGCAACACAGAATTTGCTAACTCCAAACCAAAATGTTATAAAATGAAATGGAATGTAGGCTTACATTTGCCCTTGTTGCTTTTATTTTTTATTTTCATTTATTAATTTTTTTTTTTAAACTGTGTAGGTGACCATCCACGACAAGATAGTATGGATTTCAGTAATGAATGGGGCGACCCCTCTAACTGTCGATGTGCAGATAGATTGAAGCCACTAGAGCGGAGAGCTGCACGCCAGCACCAGCGATGCCTGGCACATTCTTTGGTTGGGACTCCCAATTATATTGCACCCGAAGTGTTGCTACGAACAGGTAAAGCATTTATTAGTCTCAAAAGTAATCCTCAGTATATTTTTAGACTGTTTTGTTGTGTACCATCGAGTTGGAACTGACCCATGTCTGACCCTCTGGCGGGTTTTTAGAGGCAGCACAGGAGAAGATTGCCTGTTCTTCTCCCATGGAGCGGCTGGTGGATTTGAACTGTGTGCCTTTGGGATTGCAGTACATCTTCATACCACTATGCCACCAGAGCACCCTACTTTTAGACTAGCCAATACTTATACTAGAATGTGTTATTTCTTTTGCTATATAGTAAAAATATTAATTGTAAAAATAAACCTAGTGATTAAATCTTAATTTTTATTAATCTTGAATGATTTTTTAATAAAGTGCCTATGAATAACCGAAAGTTTGGATTTTAATTTTAGGATATACACAGTTATGTGATTGGTGGAGTGTTGGCGTCATTCTTTTTGAAATGTTGGTAGGACAACCTCCTTTCTTGGCACAGACACCATTAGAAACTCAAATGAAGGTAAGTCAAGGACTCTGTAGCATTTGAGTGTGGGACTCTTTAATCATTTCAGTCTTAAAAATACAACCACAGTGATAACAATAGGCTTGAAAATATAATGATTAGCTTCAATAACATTAAGTAATTTAGTAACATTCTTTTTAAGTAAAGAGTAAGCTCCAACAACCAATATTCCAATATTCTTTTTGAAACTTACTTCAAGGAAGTAATTTGTAAGAAGATAAATATCTTTGCTATATACCTACTAACTCTCATTGAGTTGATTCCAGCTCAGCTGCCTAATCAGAGTGAGCAGAGGAGTGAGTAGAGGAGTGAGTAGAACTTCCACATCAGGTCCTCAAGGCTGTAAATCTATGGGAGCACATTGCCTCATTCCCGCCCCCGAGGAACAGTAGGTGGTTTGAACCACTAACCTTTCATTTAGTAGCCAAGTACCTGTAGCCCCATGAAATTTTTCTGAGTTGTATATAGAATGAGTCAACTCATTGCTGTCTAGTTGGAAGTGACTCATAACTAATCCTTTAGCAGGTTCCCAAGGCTGTAAATCATACAGGAGGGGATTGTCTGTCTTTGTCCCCAGAACTGCTGGTTGATTTGAATCAGCAACGAGGCACTACCTTTACGTTAGAAGCCCAACTCCCTAAGGACTACACTTTCAGAGCTGCTTCTGTATATAGATAGCTGTTGTTGTTATGTACGTTGGAGTTGGAGCTGACTCGTTGCTGACCCTCCAGCGGGTTTTTAGAGGCAGTAAATTACACGGGAAGAGATTACCCATTTTTGTCTTGTGGAGCAGCTGGTTCACTTGAACCACTTAACCTTTGAGCTGACAATGCAACTCCTTACTCCTGGGCCACCAGAGCTTCTTAGGTATAGCTGTTGTTGTGTGCCATCAGATCAGAACCGACTTATAGCTGACCCTCCAGTTAGTTTCCAGAGACAGTAGGTCACATGGGAGGGGACTGCCCGTTCTTCTGCCACAGAACAGCAGGTAGATTCAGACCACATGCCATTTGGATTGCAGTGCAGCCTTTTACCAGTAGACCATCAGATGTCTCTGTGCATAGTAGTAGTGAGAATTTAATAATTGAAATGACTCCCAAATGGTGCAAAGTAGGATGTCTAAAAGGACAGAACAGATCATTGTTCATAGGATCACTGTGAGTCATAGTCAACTTGTTGCAGCACTTAACACCACCACCACATATGATGAACATTATGGTCAAACTGCTGAAAACTAATGAGGAAAAAACCTTTACAATCATCCAGAGATATGAAGTACCTGGTTTATACACTTTCACGAATGTATTTATTAGTAAGGTGATTATGACGGGAGACCCCATATTATACATGAATGAAATATAATACAAATGAAAGATTGTATAAAACACAGTGTACATGCATGGAACACAATGTATATGAATGACAATAATATTAATTAAACAAAACCAGTCAGAGATGATGGTTTTGAATAAGATGTAATAGCACACTCTAATAACTTTTCATCATATCTAGCTTTTTTGTTGTTGTTGATTGCTGTCCAGTTGAGCATGACTCATAGCAAGCTACCGTATGAACAAAAGGCCTGAAGCCTTTCTATAGCTTCATCATTTTCAAAGTTCATAGAGTTTCCAGAGGCATGTTTAGGAAGTGGATGCCACTCCTGTAGCTTTAAAACCTGGACAGAATGCTTGAAACAGCTATTTTAGGACCCCAAAAGTGAATAATAATAATGAGGATATTGGTCTGGCCACTGGGTGGCACATATGTAGGTAGGATCTGAATAGCACTGCAAAGGCTTTGAAAATGAAATGGCCATAGAAATCACAAAGGCTTACAGGAACTCATGATGTGAATCTGTAAGAGAGATGCAAGGAAGCTAGGGGGAAGTGTTAAGTTTGAGGTGTGATGTGCTAATAAAGATGTGGAGGGGGAAACATCACAAAAATCCATGGAAAAACCACAAAGGTTAATGATAATTATAGGAAAAATTAGATTTTGGTTTTTATTTCTTCTCTCAATTTTTAAAAAATCTTTGTTGAAGGTTATCAACTGGCAAACATCTCTTCACATTCCACCACAAGCTAAGCTGAGTCCCGAAGCCTCTGACCTTATTATCAAACTTTGTCGAGGACCAGAAGACCGCTTAGGCAAGAATGGTGCTGATGAGATAAAAGCACATTCCTTTCTGAAAACTATTGATTTCTCCAGTGACCTGAGACAGCAGTCTGCTTCATACATTCCTAAAATCACACATCCAACAGATACGTCCAACTTTGATCCAGTTGATCCTGATAAGTTATGGAGTGATGGTAATGAGGAAGAAAATGTGAACGACACTCTGAATGGATGGTATAAAAATGGAAAGCACCCGGAGCATGCTTTCTATGAGTTCACCTTCCGGAGGTTTTTTGATGACAATGGGTACCCGTACAACTATCCAAAACCTATTGAATATGAATACATGAATTCACAAGGTTCAGAGCAGCAGTCAGATGAAGGCGATCTACATGCAGGCTCAGAGATAACAAGTCGTGATCTAGTGTATGTTTAACATGCTAGGAAAGAATTGAACCATGATTCTGTAATGCATTTGCAAAAAAAGGCCTCAAATGCAGGGAATTATGAGGTTTTTAGAGTAAAAATATGCAAATAAAACAGAGCTATGTATGTGTGCTCTGTGTACACTATTTTATTTTCCTAAATTATGGGAACTCTTTAAAGTTAATTTATTCCCACCTTTTAAATCAGTAATTTAGAAAAAAAAAGTTATAAGGAAAGTAAATTATAAATTCAATATTATACTCAGTTATTGGTACTTAAAGTACTTAAAATTTAAAAAAGTTATAATGCTTTGTTTAAAAGGAAAAGCCCGGTATCTATTTGTATATATGCTAAATAACTTTTTTAAAAAGAGTTTTTTGAGATTTTTCTTGGAAAGACAGTTTTAGTTTCATCTTGCTTTAACCAAATATGAAACATACCCCATATCTGAGCTTTTTCTTTTTTCCCTGTGACTTTGGTTTTGATACATATAAGCCATCACCCTGGTGAGGGATCCTGTGCTCATGATAACCTGTGTCGTTCACATCCTGCAACCGGGAAATACAGGGTTGAGACAGTATGTTCATCAGAAGGGAAAACAGCACAGCCTTTCTGGTTTTCCCTCTGTGTGATACGTAATCTAGCATTTCTTTCTCAAGATTTACTGGCTTTAGAAGATGTTAAAGCACTACCAGTTTTCTTTCTATGTTGGTGTTTTTAATACTGCTTCCATTTAAAAAGGAAACAAAGCTGCCATAAAAAAAATTTTAAAAACTAAGATCATTCATGTTTTTTATTTTAAAATTTAAAAATCTTTTTTCTGCTTTTTGAAAAACTATACTCAATCTATGGGAAACTTCATTAGAAACTTATTTCTGTGTAGTGACTGCTTTTGATTTTGTCATCAATAATATAGCTTTCTTCTTTCAGACTGTACTTGGTAAAGGAAAATCTATTTGACTAGATTTCAGTTACAGCCTATTAATTGGTGAGGACATTAATCATTATCTCTTCAATTGAGACTGCCATTAGTAATTAGGAAAAGTTACATAGTAGAAAAAGTTACATAGTCACAGTAGAAAATTCAAATTCTCCTAATTCATTAAAAAACTTGTTACATATGCTTGGGCTTAAGAATGACATATTTAATCAAAACACATTTAGTTTCTTTTAGGGAAGGAGCAAAGAGCTCTTTTCTGACATTAGTGAATTTTTATATTTTGGTTTGTTGTGTTTTTTTTTAACATTTTCTTTTCTTTGGCACCATTAATAATGAATTATTCTTTCAAAACACTATTAATAATTCTAGTGATTTGCAAACTCATAACTTTATTTAAAAGCTAATGGGAAAATATATGCGTTAAAGGCATATTTGCAATTAATTTGAAGGCAAAGTGGTTTCAGGTGATTTGGGGAGAAGCCAAAATACATATTTAGCTCACACTCTCCACCTTTGTTGGGTAGTCCTTGGAGCCCAGCTGGAACCACTTCCCTGGAATGGTAGTCTTTTGTGGTCACTGGACCTTTTGAGTAATGGGATTGCAGTGCAACTTCTTAGCACTAGGCCACAGAGTGCTCCCATCCTTTTGAGAAATTAAAACTGTGAATCATCCCAGAAAAATGCACATTGATGTTGCCTAGTGCTTCAGGAGAGTTCTTGACACATTGAACCACAGATTCTAGGTAAAGGACTCCTGTCCTGGAATAAAACTAAGAATTCAGCTTTTCATTTAATCTTCAGTACTAAGATTAGCACATCTTTGTATAAATTCTGATAATACATCATGGAAAAGGCCTCTTGTATCATGTGATGCCTCTATGAATAATCTTTCTTACCGGTACAGCACTGAGATGTTTTCAGACACACATTTTGAGGGTGCTGAAATCTATAGTTAGTTTTATTCTAATCAGAAAATTATAAAAGAACCATAGTGGTATTGCAGCCTTAACTTTATGGCACATTTGAGCAGTCTCATGGAATCCTGTGCAGCACAAACTAGGTCCCCAGTACTCACATTGCAAAGATCTTACTTTTGCTTGTTGAGATTTTTTTCAGTGAGGTTTATTTAAATTTCCACTTAGTTATTTTACTTTTGGATTACGGTGCAACAACAGTTTAAAGCCAATTTTGTTACACTTGCGTTGTAGGAACACTAAGGTGCTGTCTGCCTCTCCCGTCCCCCATTATCTCATCTGTATTGCCCTTGCTCTTCAGATGTAATGGACACTACATATTCCATGCTTTTTTCAAATTCATTTTGATAGTATACACTTTATATGTTCACCTGAAGCAGTATCTGCCTTTGGTATCTGCAATTTTACTAGTTTAAATATGCTTACCAGGTGTCTTATTTTGTTCAGTTCTGCTATAAAACGTTTTCCTGACCAAAAAGTGAGAACTCCAACATCAAAAATATAGATGTTCTCAACTGAAATAGTGAAAACATTGGTTACACATGTTTTCATTTTTAAATAATTTCCCCACTCCTTAAAGTATTGTACTGTCTTCTTATACTTATCCCTGTTTATGCATATCAATAGTATTTATAAAATGTGTTCTATAATTATGTAATTTTAGATACTATTATGTATTGTCCAGTGATACCCTAAGGCAGGCCCTATTGCTGTATCTTTTCTACCTTTGTAATAGAAACTCTAGAATGTATGACTAAGGAGTCACTTTGAAATTGACTTTTTAAAAAAGTTATTACCTTCTGCTGTTGCAAAGTGCAAAACTGTGAGTGAAAATGTTTTATTCTGACTTAATGTTAGAAATTAGAGAATGCAGTGGGAGGATTTTTAGACATTGCTGCTGTTGTTACCCAAAGTACCTTTAGGAAAAAAAAAAGATAGAAGAAAAACCCCATTTGGTATTTAAAGTAAAACATTTAGCTTCTTTGCTTTAATCTAAAGCAAAAAGTAATTTGGGTCAACATATCGGTGTATTTGTAAAGCGCCTTAATATATCTCTCCATGGAAGGCATTATACCAGTTCACTTTTATATTGTATTGTGTATATAAGTATTTCATACTCAAATTGAATCAGCGACCACACTACAGTTTTATAAAATAATGCTTTGTTAGGGAAAAGAATTACGGCTTTGCAGCATAACGAAATTGTTTTGCATACTTCTGAATGTAGTAGATCTCGATAATCAGCCTGTGTTTTTAATGAATCTATTTGTATTTTCCAAATCATTTTCTCTAGTGTAACATTTGCTGGGATAATAAAAAAGCAAAATTCAGATCTTTCAATCTGTTGGAGAGCTGTGTAAATGTATTGCTATTTTAAATTTTTAAAAGTTCATTTCCTTTATTCTAAGAAAATGTGATGCTTTTTTAATGCTAATATGTGTAGTATTAATAATAATCCCTAGTCAGGTTATGACAGAATGGAGAGTAAAGTGTTTTTCTTTTGTCCAGTGTATTGAGTATAACAAATGTTAGGTACCATTGAGTCCGCTCCAGTTCATAGTGAACGAAACTCTGTCTGATCCTGCATCTGCCTCCCAGTTGTTGCCCTGATTGAGCCATTGATGCAGCCACTGTCAGTCCATCTCATCGAGGGGCTTTATCTTCTTTGCTGACTCTGTACCTTAACACACATGCTGTCCTAATTCCAGGAGCCGACCCCCTCCTCCTGAGGGCTTGCTGGAGCTACTGTGCTGGCATGGGATGTAAGAACAGCCAGTCTGACTCGGCAGAAGCACAGCCAGGCTGCTCTTCAGCAAGGAGGGAAACTTTGTCTCACATAACTAATACATATTTCTTGTGAAAGGCTTCTAGTTAGCACAGATTCAAAGCCTTTTAATTATTAAATCCCACAGTAGTATAATTTGAATCGATAATAATTAAGTTAGGACGTTGTAAGTTTTTCTTTTTTTATTGTTGCACATTTTCTTCCCCATTGCACCCCACATTGTGCCCCTTGTTCATGCATATAATACCTAATTGTATATTCCTTCTGGACTGTTCCCCTCAACTACTACTGCAGTTTCATCATCCATCCACTCTTTCCCATTCTCTCCCCAAACCTCTCATCTGTCCTATTTTATAACAGTGGTGCTATGCAGTATTTGTCCTTTTTGTGACTGAGAAATTTTATTCAGTGTAATGTCCTCAGGCTTCCTCATGTTGTGTAATGTTTTGGGTGTTCACTGTTTTCAGTGTTGCCTAATATTCCATTGTGTAAATGTACCATAGTTTTTCTATCCATTCGTTTGTTGATGGTCACGTGGGTTGCTTCCATCTCTTTGCTGTTGGGAATAATTGAGCAATAAACATGGATGTGCATGGATTTTCCTTTTCACAACCTTTTATTGCATGAAATGTTTGTCAGTAAAATACATTTTTTTAGAAAAGCTGTAAAGTAGTGCTTGAAACAACAGAAGTATACTGTCTTAAAATCTTGAAAGCTTGAAGTCAGAATTAAAGGTGTTGCTCAGGGTCTGCTATCTTCAAGCATTCTTTGGAAAAGATCGTTTCAGAGCTCCTGGTAGATCCAAGCATTCCATGACTTGCAGCTTCTTCAAAACTGCATTTTATATTATTAATTACTCCGTTGATGGACAGTTTAGTTTTCATTTCTGGCTATTTTGAGTAATACGGCAGTGAACATTGGTGTCCATGTGGATGAGTCACTGTTTCAGATCATTTGGGTAGACATTTAGCAGTGGAATTGGGGAGGTATATGAAATGGGAATTCTAAGGAGCTCTGATTACCCTTCAGCAGATTTTTCAGAGGCAGTAAATCACATGGGAGGAGATTGCCCAGACTTTTCCCGCAGAGCAGCTTGTGGATGCAAACTGTGTGCCTTTGGGATTGTAGTGCAGGTTCTTAACAGTAGACCATCAGAGCTCCCTAAAGTGTTACTACTAGTCAACATAGGGGCCCATGACAGCTTGCCAACTATATCTTTTGGAGAAACCACCAAACTTCCACAGCAAATGCACCATTTTATATTCCCACCAGCAGTGGAGCAGGGTTTTAGTTTCTCCACTTCCTTGTCA